TATGAGGAAAGGCCTTGTCTCAGGGAGGTGGGTCATAAGGACTACATGAGCAGGGACAGGAAGGAGGTGGCGTATTTGCAAATCGATCTACTGATGACAGAAAAATATATCAGCCGGGAGGATTACAAGAGCAAGTGGAAAATTATCAGGTCACAATTTATGAGGGAACAGGCTTGGAAAGAAAAAAGAAGTCCGGTCAACAAACAAGCGATGTGTACCACTCCTCTTGGAAGTGGTACAAGATGCTGAGGTTCCTTATTATTGTGCAGAATGCCACGAAGGGCTTTGGAACAATGAAAATGTGAACATCCTATGATCCCCAGACTTCCTCGAAGTCAGTTAATTCATACACGCATGCGTGGCTCATTTGTTTTCCGAATAAATTTATCCTCGTTAAGCCACTGGGGCGGCAAAACATTTTGTTTGTTTCCCGCTAATTTAGCCACCCCGGGAACAATAACAATAACAATAACAGGAAACAATATTACCGAAACAAAGTTTAAGACTGCTGTACCAAAATTTCTCTGCACAGCAACACTTCGTGCGCTGTTTTCCACTCCATTGGCCTGTTGTAAAAATCAAATTAACAGAAATAAATGAACATTCAAGTAACTTGTTACACGTGACAGAATCCACCAGCTTAGTGCCGGATAAGCAAACCGAAGAACTCGACTGAGTCAAAAAGAATAAAACAAACGAAAAAGCTTAGGAAATACTTGGCATATTGTACTACATGGAATGGACTGGACTAGTAAAACGCGGACTAGTAAAATGTGGACTAGTAAAACGTGGACTAGTAAAACGAGGACTTGTAAAACGCGGACCTCGTTTTTTTCATGTTTTTCCTTGTTTGTAAATCGAATAAAACTTAACGGTAACGGACTTAACAACAAAAACAGAAAAAAAAAACAATTTCATACCAAGGCGATCACTAGACTTAAAGTGCATATGACAAGTTTTTTTTTTCGACAGATTCTAGTTGCTTATATCGTCTTTAATATACTTGAGGAATCTGGGAGCAATCCGGTAAATATAAGTACTGAGTTTTTTCATTTGAATCGCTGTCACCGCTTGAATTTTTTTTACCGCCACTTCGCTCGGCCAGACCACCAAATAACTAACCTCGTGACGTCACATTGTGTGTAACACTACAGCAATGGCGGACTCTAGTCGAAAGCGTAAAGGAGGGAAAAGATGTGTCGCTGGAGCACCAAATAAGACGAGTTGTAGCAATAATTCATACACACCTGGTATAACGATGCATCAGTTCCCTTCTAATCCAGAAATAAGATCGAAATGGGTGAAATTTGTCCAAGTACATAGACCAGAAGACTTCAAGGAACCCGTGAATAAACATGCTTGCTTGTGCTCTGCACACTTCGAAGATTCATGTTTTACCCGAGATCTTACTATCGTTGAAAGCATGAGCGAACAAAACATGCGCCGAGTGTTAATCAAGGGTTCAGTGCCAACGAGAGATACGACAAAAGCTCCAACGACTCCGATTTTAACTCAAAGGGAGAAAAGACATGTAAGATAGTTTTGCACATAAGGAGGTACTCCGACGTGTGGTCAAAAGCTTATTCTAGTGTGTATTGTTTTTTTTTTTTTAGATAAAACGAGATGTACTGAAAAGTCTTGACGTTTATGATCCCGTCAATAAACGGAGAAAAGTTGTGGAGGAAGAAATATACTCAGAAGAAACGACAGAGAGTGTGGANTAATTTTCCATACATTTGTCTGTAACTTTTCGCAGGGTAGAAGGGGCGGCGCGCAAAAGATTTACAGACAAATGTGTGGAAATTAGAAAAATTAACTGAGCGTCTTGTATCAAACCTACAATCTTCAAACTTGGTGAATAAAATCTTCTACTCGGTGTTTTAACGTTGCGATTCATGAATTGCGTAAAATTTGATTCTGGGAAAAGTTATTTGCCATGGGATTCCCATACAAAACCTGTAATTTCTGACCGCTTTGCCTACCCGTCAAGATGGGTTCTAAAACTGTCAAGGGCTATTATCATTCAACTATATTTTCTGCTGAACTGATTAAGAAAGCAACTTTTGTTTTAATAACACGTTTTAAGATTATTATCCTGTGATATATGCGATAGATTTGGAGCATACGTAATTTACTGTACTCACTCGTTTTGCGTAGAACCGGTTTGTCGGCGATAGCGTAATAATGGCCCCACTTGCATCAGTACTGTCGGGTTGATCAAGGCTGAGAAATCTTCGTGTTGTGTTATACACTTTATATTCTCTATAGAACCATCAAACACTAATTTACCGATGGCATTTATTACTTCATGACAGCAACGAAACTCCATTGCGTCCTCCAAAGCTTCGCCATGACAGTGTTGACATTTGCACCTATAAACATCGAGAATCGCTTAGAGATCATTGTAATATACTCCATAAAAACTATGACATAAGGTTCTTACCATTCGTTAACGTTAATCTGGCCTTCAAATCGAGCCTCTAAAGTAGATGGTCGAAGGCCATCGACGTCTGTTTCTTCGTCTCCGTCTTCTAGATCTTGATCGCTATCGCTGGCTAGCGGTTCGTCTTGATATGGCTCCTCTACCATATTTTCTTCTTCGGAATTGCCTAATTCTGCACGAGATGATGAGCTTGAAGATTCTGAGTGGTCGGATTCATTACAGGATTCGTCTGAATCACTAAAACTCTGGAGGTTTTCTCTGGACATGTTCGATTCGTTTTAGTATTCTTAGGATAGGTACACCATATGACATCACGCATAAATTAACTTACAAATATTCATTACCAGGCTCCGGTAAGATAATGGCCGAAACTAGCGCAGTTTTGAAGGCAAAAAAGTATATTAAATTTCTTTACAGAACAAATCTAAATATTTCAGGCGTGAACCAAAGACTATAAACTAAGAAAATTCATCGAAAAAAAAAACTTGTCATATGCACTTTAATGGCGAACCAATTTTAAAAATTTTGTCCATTTGATGTTATGCCAATATTCATTTCGATAGTTTAGTACGTGACAATCCCTGTTTGACCTTTAAGCTACAAATGGGTTTGACATGTGCCAGATACAAACAATTTTAAAAGTTAAAACGAGAAGTAGTTGCGGTTAACAGTTACGTTAATCAATGTGACTTTCATTCGTTAATATCTGAATTTTTCAACACAGTTTCTTCGTTTGTGAAACGTTGAGCGAAGTTTTCAGTTCTTCTTAAATACACTTTCGTCGTAAATTTCACAGCAGAAACGCAGGAATTCGATGAATAAAAGTTGCATTAAATCCCCTTGTAGAAAGATTCTGGACTTCAGCTTTTCGGTGGAAGAAAAACCGATTTACACACGCCATTACAGAAAACAAACAAGCAGACTGGCATATTGTATTGATTGGACTGGACTGGACTGGACTGGACTAGTAAAACGTGGACTAGTAAAACGTGGACTAGTAAACCGCGGACCGAAAATTTTCATATTTTTCCGTGTTTGTAAATCGAATAAAACTTAACGGTAACGGTAACGGTAACCTTTAAGCTACAAATGGATTTGACATGTGGCAGATACAAACGACTTTATAAGTTTAGGCTAAGAAAGAATTTTATTCAGCACCAGTTCAAAATCTTAATTTTGTTTCAATTTCCGAATCATTCAGTAGCTAGTGACTTACCCCTACTGAGCGTGAAAACAGAAGTTTTTGATTGGCTGAAGTATCATGTGTGTGTCATCTCAAATTTCTAAATCATCTGATGTCAAGGCTTTACACTAGTACTGTCGAATTTATTTACAATTCGTAACCGGCTTTAGTTTTTTAAGAGCACAAATGGAAGCACTAAATCAGTCGGAAAACAATAGCACTGAAGACGAAGAAGTGATTGATACAATTACAATAACAGTAAATGCTGGAACATCCCTTAATGCTCCAGAAAGTGCTTCGTTAGCACGAAAGCGAAAAGTTGCGATCAACAAAGGGAAGAACAAGCAAAGAGGAAGCGTCAAAACCACTCAAAGAGTACCCAAACCAACACTTTGCCTTGGTAAGAGGAAAGCTTAGATGTAACGCTTGCAGCAAAGTTCTCAGTAATAAGAAAAGTCCTATTGAAAGACATACGAAATCAAAGAAACATGAGTAGGGCCTGGCTGATATTGAGAGAAATAAATCGGAACAGCATTCCATCAAAGAATGCCTGCAGAAGAGGGCAAAAATTGACATATTTACGAAAAGCTTAGGGGTAACTGTTCACAACTTTTAGCACTGAGCACTATTTTGAGATTTTGAGCACTTTTTGAGCACTTTTTGGCCATTTTTGCCAGCACTTTTTCAGGATTTTACGAGCGCAATCGGGAAAGGCCTCATAGTTTTATCCAGAAATGAATGTGATTGTATTTTGGGTCATAGCAATAAAAACTGCATAACTTTGGAGACGCGAGCCGACAATTTTCGTTTTCTGACGCAAATAAGTTAAGACAATTTTACTTAACTAACAATC